AAAAAAAAAAAAAAAAAAAAAAAGCAAAGGACCACGAACATAAAATCTACATATAGCCAGGCAGAAAGTGAGTTAAAGTACTCACCTACAGTAGCCTCAAGGCCCATTTTACTGACCGCAGAGAACATGTACAACTGTAGTAAAGATGAAAAAAAAGACATGCTAGAATACAAATATAGGGATTAATCCTATGGACCCTATTTGCTTCATGTTAGCTAAAAAATATCTTAGCTGGTATATGTGAAAAGCAGCTCTAGTTTCCTAGGTTTTATAGAAACTCTGAGAGACCACAACGTGATGGTTGTTTGATGGGACTGGAAAAGAAGGTAAGAAGTATGCTCCAGTTCTCCCAGTATATCCTCTCAGAAGAAAGGGATGCATGACGAGACCATTCAATTTTAAACTCCTTAGCTGCCAGCTCACAACAGCATCAAAATTTCTAAAGATAAATGCACCTCATATACACAGCTGCCAGCTTTCCAGCAGCAATAGCACAGTAATTTGAGCAGCTAAAATGCTACCTAGAAACTGGACAGCACATTTTATAAAAGAGTAATAGATTTTCTATAGAATCCCGCAACATGCAATGCATTGGACCTGTTTGTTTAGTAAGGTCAGTCTAAACCTCTACCTTGGCTCATATGCTCAAATTTTCAGGCCAGTTTTGGATTTGGCATTATTTCTGCTATTAGTCTCTTTTCAGAGCATCCTGTGCTGACAAAGCCTCATGGGCAAACTCTTACTGTGGGTGCTGCCAGCAGTAACATCATTCCGCAGGTTGATGCCCTTTTCTCTAGTCGATCTGAAATTAGGCCAGCCAAAATTCCACCTGAAAGAAAATGTGAAAATAGATATGTAAGGGACCTGCTCKGTGCATGCTTGCACACAAGTATCGGATATATTCAACAAAATCCAATCCAGATTATAACAATATGCCACTTTTTTAATGTGAAGTTATACACAATGGCACGGGATAGGGGACTGACAATATAATTTGTATTTAGTAGTATCCTTATTAACCCAACTAGGTTTGATRTAAAAGATAACTATTGCAAACAGTTTTTTTTTGTTTGTTTGTTTGTTTTTGTTTTTGTTTTTTTGTTTACTCCAAGGCCAACTGAATACCCAGGATGATGCAGACAAGAGGATAGAGAATAGAAATATTTAAAAAGCACTGCTGTGCTGCTTGAGAATGCAGGATTGTCTTTGCATCAGGTGCTACGTGGCTCCATTCTGGCAGCTAGTTGTGCCCAGCTAAGGGCTCAGTAAAGCCAATTCCTTACCTCCTCTCACACAAAAATAAGCTCAGCTCCAGCATATTAAATGCTGTATTCTGTGCATGATACACCACAAGCAGGGGAAAAAAAAGAGTTATTTTAGCTGCTGTGGCAAACAAAACATGTTTTTCTTCTCTCCAGGCAGTTGCTCCAGGCAGTTGAAGACCCCCTGCTTCTTCTGCTTGCCAATGACTACATGCAGGAGCAGTAATGGGAGTGTGGCAACTGCACTGGGCTGGGGCAGGCTGGAAGGCCTGGAGRAGGTTTTCACAAGACTAGTAAGCACAAGTTGTGTGCACCGCATAGGTTTTTCTAACCTGGTCTTATTAAGGATGAAATATTAAACTTACCAAAGATTCCACCCACATCAAACAGCGTAGAAAGATCCCCAGCTCTTTTGGCATCAAGATGCTCTAATAACAAAAGCAAAATAGTTTATCTCATTTCAYGACTGCAAAAGGTACAGACCTCAGTACAGTCTTGTCAGGCTAGAGTAAAGCAGTACTACTACTACTTACTACTACTACTTACAGCAGTACTGTTTATTTACAGGAATAAGCCATGGTAAGGTGTTCTTACATATTGATACACATGTCATGTAAGAACATATTGCAACTGATGATACAGTCTTTTGGATACAATTACACTGCATGGCGGGGCATTTTAGCACTCTGTTAATATAGTCCAACTAATAGGGCAGATTGTATATTAGTATATCTGATACATTCAAAATGTAAYGATTAGATTCATAAACAAGTAACAAATGCCTGCAAGTTAAGCTTTTCCTTTTAAAATCATACTAGCATACGTTTGGGTCACTCACTGAGCCTTGTTCTAGAGACCAGTAATATTTACAATTACATTATGCCTAGCCCCCTGCTTGGCATAGCATAAACTGCTCAGTTTATGGAAATTCTAAAGACACTGTCATTTCCTCAACTCCACCACTTACCATGACCAGTGAAGACCAATGTTTGCATACACCCACATTCAGCGTAAAGTTTCAAAAGGAGATGGATTTCTAAACTTCTTTGGTACTTTCTAAAGGTCCCAGAAAAACACTTCAAAGAGAAGTACGTAGCTAAAACAGTGGTATCAGTGGCACTACCATAACTACTGAAAATGAATCAGATGGGCAGATTGTTCTAAATATCATCAGTTCTTCTATTAAAAGCCAGCTGCTTTCAAGATATACACTCCTGGAGGAGCATTGATTGTTTGGAGCCCACACAACAGACTTTAGGTACAGTATTTGCAACTCTGCATCTTCCTCTAACATTTAACATGCCTCTCTCTGCTGGTTGTTGCTGTTACACTTGTCTACCACAGTCTTTTTAGGTAGCTGGAGATTTAAAGGTTACATGATGATTCATAAGAACATCAGTTTCTCCAGTCAGTGAAAATTCTTCCCTCTGTATTCTACAGCACAAAAGAAAATGGTAATAACGAATAGATAACGAAATTTATTTATRTTTTTGCTATACTTTCAGAAAAGGCACTTAAAAACATAATTATAAACTAAACCTTGTGATTGACTCTGAAGAGCTGAAGACATACCACTGTGGTTTCTCTCCAGCTACTGTGGCAAAGCGAGCTTTTTTCAGAAACAGTTATGTTTTTTTTTTTTTATTTCAAGCTTATACTTTCAGGTACTATTTAGGCTTAATTTTGTTCTCTCATACTGTCATACTTACCGACATTTGTGATATAGAGGGGAAGCCAGAAGAGGAAAGTATAGCTCACCAATTTTGCAAACAGAAGGCAGAGAGAGAACTCTACGACCCCCTAGGAGAACAAAGGAAATAGGAAGTTAGAACCTTGATACAGGGACAGGTTCTCTATCAAGAAACGAACTTCTGCTTGTTTGCAGCAGTGCTCATGTCAAAAAGTGTTCCTAAGAAGTACTGGATACTGTTTGGGAAACCTACATCACATATTTTCATCATGTAAAGTGTTTTTATATAGCAGTATAGCAGGATTACAGTATATACTAGAGAAATATATATACGCTAGAATACATCAGAGAATAAAGCATATGTTTCATATTSTTTAAACTCATTTGTTTTTAAGATAAAGATACCTCACTTGTTTAATGCTTTACATACAGCCAGTTACCAGAACAATGCAGGCCTTCAAATTAGTAGGTGACAAAAACACACACTGGACATGGCACATGCTTATTTAAAATAATTTGTTCCATCTTCTTTCCTGCTGGGTATATGAAAGGTGTGCTTATTGCACAGAGGTGCCAGTGAACTGCCCAATTAATCTGTCTACATTCCCCTCACCATTTGGCATCTCTCAGCTGGAGATTTTCAAATCTTTGGTATGGTGCACTGCAGCTACCTGCAGGGCCAACACACACACGCCTTGRCTCCACATACAGTCATGATCCTTCCTAATATCCGGCAGGAAAAATAGAGCAGGAACTTTAAAGGCTCAAGGTAGCAGCAACTTTTAACTCTTAATTGCATTTTTTTATATGAAAAATAGTTGAGACAGAGGGTTGAGATGGGACAAAATGTGAGGATACAGCAGTTGGGTTCTGGGCACTTCTTCCTCTACCTTTACATTTGGTCTAAATAAATTTGGGTACAATTCTAATTGTGGTCCCTAGAGCATAGCCYGATTGCCCCTGAATTAAAGGAAACTTCCCCTTTCCTCTCTTCCAGCAGTCTGAATGCTTGGGTTGTTTGTCTTCCCCTTATAAGCTATACAAGAGATTTAAAAACAATTTTGAGGAGTGTAAAAGGRAGCTATGGAAGGAAGCTCTGATGCAGAGAAGAGAAGCTCAAGTGCTTCTAGACTGATCTTGCTCTTCCCTTCTCAATCCTCACATAACATGCAGGAATATTTTCAAATCAGATTAATACTGKAAACTTTTACAATATAGGCCGAGTACTATTTATACCAAGTTTTTTAAAAAATCAGTTTATAAAATCACTGGAGACATTTTTAATTTTTAAGATGCTACCAATGACCTTGTGCTCTCAGCTTACTGGAGAAGAGGGTACTCTTGAACCAGTTTTCACTTCCCCTCTGAGAAGATAGCACTTTATCACATATATCAAAATACTGCTTTACTTACACGGGAGCTGCCAACCCAAGCCCTCAACGCAACACTGATGCCAACTACCTCCCCACTTAGAACCGCGTGAGATATGTGACTGTTGCAGGAGTAGGCAAGAAGTGCCCAGGTACTCACAGGTATTCGCAGGGCCCCAAAGAAGCTGATAGCTGATGTCCCTTGTCTACTTTCTGCAAGGACTGCAGTGCCGGAGGTCAGTGACACGGTGCAGTTGTCGCTGTCATTAAGCAAATGCTGCATTTCTGGATCCTGTAAATGCCCCCAGCAACAACATATGCAGAAAAGAAAAGAATATATCAAACATATATCAAGCAAGAAAATCATTCCAAAATCATTTTTAAATACTGTATGTGCTTTTATTACAGAAAGTTATGGCTTCTTAAATCTCTTGATTTGGATATATAAAGTATATAGAGAAACAAGTCCGACTGTTTGTGCCTGAGGACGTACACTGCATTAGGGAATCAAGTCCCTGTTCTATTCTGGCAGATGTTAAATTGCAGAAAAACACATATTTGAATCTGGCTTAACAAAATAATATCTCCAGCCTTCCCTTACACAACTACATAGCTAGTCTAGGGTTTTTAGAACCAAAAACCTACTGGGTATTAAAACGTATTTCTCCGTAAAACCATGTCTAATCTACCTGCTGTACAAATATTAAACTTCTTCTTTAGGCTCTATCCATACATCATGCTATTCAGTGATTTAAATRGAGATAATATTTGAAGGCAAGTTACAGACAGTGAGTACTTTGTATTAACTGATATTTTTTTCTACTTTTTTTTTTGAGCACTGCAGTCTCCAAATTAGAAAAGTCTTCACTTTCCTGCGCTAGGAAGTATTTTATCTTAATAACTGCACTGTCTGCTCAGTGTACTTGTAAAATATGTTTGTGGCTACATTGGGTTGACCTATGCTATTACATTCTATCCACTCACCACACGGAACTAAATTCTCAGAACAGGCCTGGAAATTCACATTTCACAGCTGTACATAGAGAAGTTTCAGCTACGAGCACTGTTCAGCACTACTTTACCAATGCAGGAAAAGGGCAGAGCGTGGCCATCCTCACCTCCACCTGCTCCCTCGGACACTTGGCTACCTCTGCTCTCCTRCCAACTCAGGATGCATCTACATAGTTTTCTTTCTCTCAATTGCTGTGCATTTGAAATAAAACTCAGTGAAAGTTTGGTTCATCCTCTGAATTACCAGAGCAGCTTCAAAACTTCAACTATTTAGRCAGCAGCAATTCAAACCACCAGCTACTAATACTAAAAAATATGCTGACAACTTTACTTAGCCAAACTCCTCACTGGAATAAGTGGAAAATATGTCCAGACAGGGACTAGATGAATCTCAGACCTTTTACACAACAGACCTAATCAGGACTGGCTGAGATAATACTGCTCATTTCTTGAACAAGTGACTCTAAATCTAACAAAGCAAAGAGAGCAGAATACCAAAGTATAAGTGACCAAAGCACAAATACTTCATTTCAACAACTCGCATTGAAGACATATATTGACAATATGGGATTTTTGTGTTGCATCTGGATTAAAAAAGACATAGCAGTTTATACTTGGCTGGGATTGTTCAGCTCTGTCAGCTTGACAGCTCATGTGATTAGACATATGCCACTTGATCTCTGGGGAAGGATTCATTATGGCTCATTTTCTTCTTTTAATTTTGAAGAGGTCAATCTGACACAAGCAGTAATGGACATGTGGAGTTACTCAGACCACAAAGCAAAAAACATTTTGTTTTCACTCCCTGCACAACCTGAATATTTGCTTTCTCTTCTTAATTGAAGAGATCAATGAAAAAACAATCAGTAAAAGCTTCCACTCTAGTGTGCCTGGAGTAAGCCAGCACCTAAACGCTGACCATCTGCTGTTTCCACAGACAAAAAAGGTAACAGCAATAATCAGCTGCACAGATATGGAACAAAACCACTGTAAAAAGTAAGGATGTTCAGCTCTGACAGAAGTAACATCTTCTATCACAGGCAGACAGACTGAGGTCCCAAGTTGAGACAATCAGATTTTTTATTTTAAACCTTATTTGYATTCCATGCTAGAAACAGACATCCCAGCTAGCAAGGAAAAATAATAAAAGGGGGGAATATTAATGAGCAGCATGGTGGGAAGCACCCTCGTGCTTCACTGCCYGTGTTGGCTCTGTCAGGCTCACAAGGGAACCCGGTCAGGGCGAGGGGCTGCGCTGCCTTYGCCCGCGCGGCTTCAGACTTAGCTCAGTGTTAAAAACCAGAGCCAACAGAGCCAGTTTTGCCTACTGAACTGCTACCTGCATTTTAGCTCTGTAATTCTTACTGCATCTTCCTTATTTTCCAGCTGGCTGTGGGGTAGCATTGATAAATTATTTCCTTTTAAATTTCCTTTTGCCTATGTATGTGCAAGTCCAGAGTTTAGTTTCTAGCGAGAATTACTTACACTTGGCACTTACACTTACAATCTTGGCATTTACACTTACAAGTTTTAAGCAGGTTTCCTGTGAATAACTGCTCATATTTAGAACTCTCTGTCTCCATGCATAATCCTGCAAGTACATACATCTATTACATTAATAAAGGAGAAAAGTGAGAGAGCAAGGAGCTGACACACAAGAGAAGTAGTTTAAAGATTTCAACTGTGTTATACTGAAAATATTTTGTATTGCATTTCTTTTTGCTGGAATTTAAACTTAAACTAACTAAGAAAGCATGTTATCATATTCAATTTGGCTGGCAGCATTTAGGTTAGATAACACTTAATGCTCTTGTTCAGCATTACAYTTGTATATGAAAATAGATTTTTAGTGGTCTAAAACAAAGACCAACCTTTACCCATAGTTAATCTACTGTAAATATTCCATGTGAACTTCTATGTGAGGAAGTTTTCCATCCTTTTCTCAACAGTCACTACATTTTACCTGAGACTTGCCGCTTTCCTTAGCATTTAAGGTTGGCATCTGGACTCTGAATCGACCTGCACCATTCAAGGAGGTTTTAGAACTCTGAAAGAAGGGAGAAAAAACAATCAAGTTCTTGCTACCCTTTTTTAATTATTAAAAAATTAATTATTTAAAAAAAAATTTATTAAAGCTTATGCTTTATGCGTAAAGTTTTTTTTTTAATTAGAATTTATGTCAGTGTTAATCATATCTTTTACAACAAAAGTCTCTGTAAACATAGCCCCACATGGAGTATCTCTGTGTAAGCACTTAAAAAAAAAACMAAAMMAAMCYYYTTWRGCAGAYCTATTGCAATCTATATATAAAACAGCTACAAAATCTACTTGAGGGTGGATTTCACACTGTTCTTGTACACAGAAAAAATGTACCAAATTTGGAGTACAGTCATGCCATTCTTAATGTCTTCAACATTTTTTTTTTTGTCACTACTGGCTGTTCACTGGCATTTCAAACCTCTTTTTTTCTTGTTAGCAAAGTACTTCAATCACAAACACAGAAGTTGAGCTGATTTTCTTGGTGGAAGACTGTTTTTCTTCGCTCCCCTACCTGCTGAAGACACAACAAGCTTATCCCATTATCTTATGCTTGCTCTAGTCTTTCTACCCAGATAATCTTCCCCAAGGGGGAATGATTTGCCAGCATCGCCTCTGGGGCTCTCAGAACAGCAGCTAAGGCAGTGGTTGGTACTGCAAGATCTACCAGAGCACAGAAGGCCAAAACTGCAAAGTAAGCCCAGTCAGAGCCAGCTCCAACTTCCCACACGGGGTCTTGGAGCAACCTACTCTACCGTCTCCTCCAGGCAGCCCTGGCAGTGGCCATCCCACAAACCAACCATCCACATCCTGCACGTTCACTCAGGACCCAGGGGGATCTTGGCAAGTGCACTGCTTTCTACATATTCTATCTATTAACATAAGCATTCCTTGGAAAACGTTATCCTCAGCCTAAAGATTTGCTAGAGATAGTAAGGTTCGTTTGCTGAATTAAATGTACAACTTGCAGGCAGTCTGCAGCCAGGTAGGGACAACCTGTGGAAAGACCACAAGAAGCTCTGTGTAATTCCTCAGGTATATGAAGTTTGTTGACGAGGTGTCTAATTTACAGCCTGAATTTCACATCAAAGATCAAAACACATGAATGTCTGGGCATTTAAATTCCAAATGAAGCACTGAGTACTTCTTGGCCAACAAAAATTCAAGGATGTATCTTGAAGTTTCCTTTAGTAAACTGCCATTCATCTCCATATTCCTGTAAGACGGCAAAAAATTATGGGGTGAGGGGAGGTRTAAGGGTTTAGGCTGTCCAGCACAGTGTATAGACACAAGCAATCCTTGGCATTCGTGCTCCAAAATAAACAAACAAACSCAAACCCCCAGGGTCTGGTAAAACAGATTTTTAGATTTTTTTCTTGCAGAAAATTAGGCTCTTTTTGGAAAATGTTTTACTACAATTTATATGGCAGAAAATCCATTATCTACAGAAAAGACATCTACATCTTTATTCAGCAAAGCAGCAGAGAAAAAAAAAAATCAAAGACTTTCATTTAACTGTCAAAAATAAGATTTTCTGAAGCAAGGAAGAAATGTCTGGGGATAAGGCCTAGATTGAGGATGCACATTTAATACTACAGAACGTTTTTCTGCTTTTCAGAATATAAAAATTATAGTCTGTTATCTTCTAAATGCACAAGTATTTTTTTTTGCAGGAGTTTAAAAGAATGTCTTGTCCTGGAAACACAAAATCATGTTAAAGAAAGTTTCCAGAGCATGAAGAGAGATCTATATGAACATTCTCCAACTAACAGGTATACCTATAAAAATAATACTGTGAGAAGAGTGACCAGCAGCAATAAAAACATTCTAAATCACCATGTTTTACAACTGCTATTAAATCTGCTCTCCGATGCCCGTTGTCATCAAAGTGCCCTAATGCACGACAAAACACACTGACTTCTTTCATTTATTTGTCACGGGTAGTGCCATTGGCAAGCTGTATATTCTCCCATCTAAATGCATTTCACCACCCTTGAATTATTTTGAAACCAATTTCAAATTCATAAATGTGAGCAAAGGTGAATACAGGCAAACAAAGCACACCTCAAGAAACTGGTGAACGAAGCGTGAGAACAGCCTACCCAGGGCTCTCTACTCAGCTTTCCCTTGTGCTTCTGAGCAACTGAGTCAAATGAGACCACTCACCATTGAAAACTCTGTAGCAAGACTGCGCTCATGAATGTGCTGCAAATAACCAGTGGACCAAATTCATCCAGGACAGCAATATCACAAAGAGATGAATATGATCTATACATCTTAAGATAACTCTATCTGAAAATTTTCACTTATGTTAAACACTGTAGTTGTGTTTAAATTTAACCTGCTTCATCCGTACTACAATAAAGTTCAGGTTTTGGCAGTAACAGGCACAGCTGCCCGCATCCAACCAAAAACCGGTCCAAAGTGATCTGCTTTAGTATTATCACTATAGCAAATAGATACATATATGTGAGCACATACACATATACAAAATTATATGTAATTTTTATTTTTAAAAGGGTTTCCAATGATTGACAAAAGCACACATGTTGTTTTGCTTCTCAAAACGACTGAGCACAAAATGACAGCTATCATTTTGTGCCTGCCAGCAAATTCCACTCCTTGCTCAGCAAAGCTGATTTTTCTGTTCCAAGTTACAACACAGTCTACTTTATTGTGTAAACCTTCTTTCTATAAGCAAYTGTCATGTCTTAAGCAGTCAGATATGGTCACTGACACATCTGCATTTTCAGGATATCTTACAGAACTTTTATTCTTATCTATTTACTCAACTCATAAAAGCTCCCTCCCCACACTGAATGGAAACTGCAAGGCACATTCATTAAGAATTTATAACCCACTTGCAGACCACACAGGGCTGAGCAGGGTATTTATGCAATACAAATGGCAAACAGCTTCCTGAGACAAAAGCAAAATCTAATCTGAGAGAAGTGCAAGGAGTGGGGGGAAATATTTTATAAACCTTCTCCAAGAGCTGCAAATGCAGATACGTGGCACAGCGAAAGGAAAAGCGATGCCCTTGGCTCTCCTCTGGAGAGCAAGGTTTCCAGGGAAACAGCAGGCCAAAGGCACCGCTGTACAATGGGGCTGCACGTGCTGCTGCCCTAGGGAAGATCGAGTCAAATGATATCCAAATGATATCCCTTTCTGGGGCTGGATGGAGGCGGGGGAATGAAAGGGGAAAAAAGAGCTCCAAAAGTGATAGATTTTGTGTTAAAAATATCACACTATTACATAGAATGTCACTTTTCCTGTCCTAACTCTTTGTGATATGTGGGCAATCTATTGAGCAGATTTCTTTAGTTATGCTTTCCAGTAAATGTATCTGAAGCAAATGGTAAAYATCTACAAAGCTTACCAGAGTATTTTGCAAAAATTATGCTTTAGCTGTTACAAACAGAGCYTGAATGTCCTCAGGAGCATTTCTGAACTACATAAAATCCAAGAGTGAAAAAAAATYTTGTAAACACCTCTAAGATTCCAGTAAAATATTCTCACATTGAGTGAAGTTATCTTTAAGAAGTAAAAGAGAATTAAATGAAAAATACAGAGCCTATTGTGAATACATCTTATCTCACAGTAACACACTAAGAAAAGGAACTCCACAGCCCATTAAAAACACATGCTATAAAAAACATGCTATAAAAGACAAACTGCCTTCAGTTACYGTTCGAGAAAAAGAGAGCACCTAAAATGTAGAAAATGATACATCTAAAACTGAGAAGGAGTAAAAAGAGCAAATTGTACAACCTACTTGTAAAAGTTGCAACTACAAAGTATAGGTGACCTCCCCCATATATATGGATATGCACATATATACACACGTATATGAATATATATGTATGTCACCCCCACTTATATGTATATGGGCATACATACATATGCACACGCACATGTGTGTGTGTTAATTTTACCCTCTAGTGTGTACATATATATATATGCACAGATGATTAAGTATAATCCTTTAGTTTAGGAAAATCTTTGAGATTCCCTTGGAACCTGCTTTCCAGCACATTCCTCAATAGCCCTAATTGTCCTCACACCTAGGAAACCTCAAGCTCTTCTTTACCATTCCTCCCCTATACACTTTTAAAGAATTTGTCTAAAATGTGGCAAGGCTGTGACTATCCACAGCTTCCTGGCAGCCAAAGAAAGAGCCTTATGGCTACAGTACATATAAACAGATATAAAAGTCTTACAGGGCATGAAACACATATAAACCTGCAAGCACATTTCTAAACAAATGGCATTRTTACTAAAAAGATATTCCAAAGCTTTCCATTTTGTTCTCCTTCCTTGATTATTTTTCTCTTGTTCTGCTTGGATTGCCTCCTTCCCCTTCGTTCACTGCTACACAGAGCAAGAAAGGAATAATCTTCCTATGTGGTAGCTAAAGCTTTCTAACATACATCTCTTCTCCTAGCACGGGCACGGCTTTCTACATGCCTTGGTTTTGAGCGCTGAGGGAGTCTTACAAACTTTTGCACCAAATGCATTGGACAAACAGCACTACAGCTTAAACACATTCCCAACTTGCTTTTAAGAGTGCTTAACCACCCCAAACCTTATGCAAATATTTGAACAGAAGATTTCCTTTTAAAAATAATTTTTAAGCTACAGTTTGCTACCACCCTGGCACAGAAAGCATACAATTTTTTGCTATAATGAGCTCGCCTACCACAAAACCCATGTTAAAACTAATCATTTGCCTTTCGATTCACCCTGTTCTGACACCGAAGGGCCACACAGATCACCTTGTTTCCTAAACTTCCATAGTAAATATGTATATTAGAAGGCAGAAATCTAAATAGAAAAAGTATTTACTTACACTGGAAGGTGTGCAGGAGCAACTTATATCTTTAGGGTCTGAAATACAATACCACAAAAGGTTAACAGGGAAATCAGGATAACATATCTTAAAACACTTCTATCAGTACAGCCTGGTGTAGACTAWGGAGGGATTTGGGAGGAAAACAACTGTGTGATTTACTCCCAGTAAGTCAATAGCACAGATGACACAAAAGCATCCTTCTTCCTGCCAGAAGTGTCTAATTGTGCTCATAGGGGAAATGAAAATGGTGCTCCACAGTATCCTTCCCATTGTGTAACTGTATTAACTGCAAGTCAGGCATACACCCGTCATTACAACACTCCACTTGTACCTGCCAAATTTTTACTTCCTTCCTAGGTAGAAGGGCTTTTCCTAGCTTCCTAGGTGGAACAGGTACAGCAATATTACCTTGCATATACTAATGTACATGAGTCCATGCCAGGATAAGAGGAGCAATCTTTCTCTTTTGATTAAAGTAACAAAACTTGTTCTATCGGTTGATTTTTAGATCCTGTAATAGACAATAAGGACAACATGGCTTGGATGGTGGCACTGCATATACAGTGCAGCAAGGTGGGATATTTGGCTAAGATGCACGTGAAGAGTTTATAGAAGACAAGGAACTGAATTCTGAAGTGGTACTTCCTCAGGTGGGCCAGAGTCTGAGTGCTTTAACGCYCTGAATATACCTGTCTTTCTCCATATAGTGTTGTCAGAAGAAGTGGTTCAAGTACTGCTGTATTTGAAGAGCATTTGCTTATATCTGAAAAAACTACTAAATATACTTTGCACTGGATACTTTAAACAGCTGATGTTCCCTCACCAACACAACTTTGAACGGAGTAAAATACTTACGTTCAATAAGAAACAGGAAGCAGATAACCCCCATCACAGCAATGATGACACCAGGCACCACAAAGGACAGACCCCAGCAGGTAGACACCCAGTAAGCAGCAATCAAGGATCCCAGGATATTTCCCACTGAGGTATGCGAATTCCACATTCCCATGATCAAACCTCTCCTACATCAAAAAGACAAACATTTCTTATTATGCCATCAGTAAGTATTATTATAGTGAGAAAAACGCTCCAAAACCTTGCTCATCTTCTGTGTCACTGAAATATCTGAAGCTTTGTAATTCCTTTTTGCTGCAGTCTTACATCTAGCAATTTCCTGGTACCTGAATATTAATAGCAGTGCTCTAAGTACTTCTCTGTGCACAAGAGAATTCACTCTGCATTTAATGGGATTTAAAGGCATCTTCAGGGCTTGCATGTTCATGGATAGAGTTTCCTGGATTAAAGCAAACACGTGCAAGTTACGGAGCACACGCCTGCTACATCTGATGCTTCAGGGAATGCAAGGCCTCCAGCAGAAACACTGCACRGACAATCTGATGCTTTGAGAACACATTACACGTACCATGCAGAGGAAAACAATTTGCTCAGGGCAGGGAGAGCAAATCCAGTATTTTCTACATTTTCTGGACTTACCATGCACTAGCAGAGGATAATACTGGCACACAAGCTTGGCCGACACATCAGGCTGCCGTCAGCCTGGAAATCCCAGCTTAARGCTGCTGCACGATAACTCCAGCTGGGCTAATGTAAACCTCAAAAATCCTACTCATGTCAAGGCAGTTGACAGTTTTTTCACCCTACGTCAGGGAAAAACTACTTTGTCTTCAATAGCGTTTTTTTTCCTGCAGTAACCTAATTTGAGCACATATTAAAACATATTTAAAACACACATTTTGCTCTGGTTGCAGACCATATTAAAAGGTCTGCTCATTTCAYTACTGTTCTGTTACACTGCAAGAAATTTGTAGCAGAAGGAGAACAAGAACCAGGTCACTGTCACTCAGACAAGAACCTTATCTATCAGTCCATTATTTGACATCCTAAGAGTTACAATTTTTGCTTTTGCACTAAGTGAAATCTGAATAAATGCATCTCTTATTACTCAATATTGCGTCACAGTTATCATCCTATTTCCAGGTTTCAAAAAAGAGGATACAAGGATCACAGGAAATCAGCTTTATATGGAAGTTCATTAACTATCTCATGATTTTATACAAAGTATAGTTAATTTTCACACATTTTCCTGTACTGATTCATTGTAATGTTCATTCAATGGTATCTAAACTGGATGGTACCTTAGCAACATTATCGTTTTCTTCATCCACTAACAGTTATCAGAATCAATGGATTTAGCATGCAGCTACTTGAAAATTTATCCTGTATGGTATGAAAACAATACCACCACAATTAAAAAACACCACCATGAATAACTTCTCTGCAAGATTAAAAAAATATACCTATATATATTTAAACCCACTTTTTTTTTAAAGAAAAAAGTGACCAAAAAAAAGGTCAAAATATCTATCCTATCTGTTTTCTTCTTTAATGAAATCTTCGTGTTTCTGCAATTTTATCAGAAAAAAAAGCATTAAACAGAAAGGAAAATAGTCTGGCAACTGCTTTAAAACACTAACACTGACTTTAAATAGTTTTATGTTTATTTGCAAGAATTCTTCTTAATTCTGAAATACTTCTTCTGAAAAATTAAATATCTAGAGTAGATTAGAGAGTTATTATAGTACACATATCTGACATGAGAGAGTACGTTTTAAACTCTTTAGGTAAACTAAGCAGAATAACATAGAAAATTCTTCTCAAGGATCCACCCAAATGCTTGTTTCATATCACAGSCCAAAATGTGTTGATTTGTACTTCAAGCACTTTGGAATACATATTATTTACCTTCCTTTTCCAAACCAGTTGCCAATACATGTAACAACGCTTGGCCAGCCAGTAGTTTGCACCAACCCATTTGCTATCTGAAAGCACATTAAAAAAAAAAACAATAAACTAACACATCCTGAAATAAGTCAGATTCTGACACAATTCCTGCTGAGCGCTGCACTGGAAAACGGAAGCCCACACCAAGGCTTTGAATTTTAGTGGAGGTTTCCAATATTTCCCGCCCCCTCCGCCAGAACAAACTCTAATATTTTGAAGAGATTCTTCTCTCCACCTAAACATCTCCAGCTGCTTTATGAAGTTGAATACAAAATTTAACATTTAATCACAGACTTAAAAATCCCATTCCACTAGGCAGAACTAAGAATCATCCCCACACGCAATACCTACGCAATACCTTGCTCAATTGGAATGCAAAACAAAGTATGTTTGTAATCAAACCAAATTTAAGTAAAAAAAAAAAAAAAAGAAAAAAGTGCTAGGGGAAACTGGGCAATTCTGACCATTAATACTGGAAGAGATAAAATAAATCCGAACATAAGCTGAGATAAACTTAACATGCTGTCATGAGGCTGTAGTAGGAACTTTCAGCCTGAATGCTKAACAGGTCCAAATGGAATCCTAACCTGCTTTGACTTCTATTAAATTCCTTTTTGAGCATTTCACGTYGACTCAAAGACCACATGCTAAATACAGTGATGTTATTGCATATTCAAATTTCACAATTTCATTGTGCAACAACCAGTCAGGTTCTTGGTAAAGGACCTGGCTCAGTTTTTTGAATGCAGCCCAAGAGCCCCCGGGCACTGACATGGTTAAAAGGTGACAAGTGAAATGGCTGTAAGCTTTCAATATGCAAGTATCCCTGCATGCCCTATTGCACTATGTCTTGAACACACTCCAGCTGTGCATTGTATCAGCAACAACGTCAAAGCGAGCAGCAGTGCCAGGTGTGGACCTGTCTGCAATGACGCAGAAGCACAGATCATATCCYGGTTCTTACCTACATGCCATTATAGGTCAAAGGTGTGTGTATATCTATATGTACGTGTGCTGCYTTATCAGATGTGCAAGTGCTCTGAGAAATCCCACACAATGATTTGCATTACAGAAGCTGGCTTGCCTGCCACACCAGTGTGGGAGACTGCTCATCATTTAGCAGCACAAACACAATTATCTTGCAGAGAAATCTAGGATGTGTCACCCTGCTCTTGGCAGATTGACAAAAGTAAATACATCTGTTTTAACACTCTCCCGCATAAAGGCTTGCAAAGATTTGATCAGTGATTTGACACAGGCTGGAACACCTTAATTTATTTTAAAATATTTCTTCCCCCCACAAAATATATATTTTAAATAAAGCCTGAGGCTATATACTCTATCACTGCTCTATCTCATCACCTTTCATAGTACAACATATGCCAGCAGTTATATCTTTTCATCTAAACACTAATCATTGTTACCACCTGAAAAAAAACAGCACCAGAAAGCACCATAGAAACTCATAGCATTAAATAGCAGCAYACTTACCTGGGCCATTATGTAAAACCACAGATTATGTATATTATAGAAATAACCCAATCCAAACATTGCAGTGAAGAATCCGCTAGCGAGCATCCCGACTGTCAGGTAATACCGGATAGGAAGCCGTTCCCCTATTATGCCGCTTGAAACATGGAAGGAAAGAAAAAGAAAGCACATGATTGAAGTGAGACCATGCCCAACCTTTCAGAAACAAAGAATGTTTTGTGTTTCAAAAATTAATTCTGAGGAGAAACTTCACAGGTGKCTGCTTTTATTCTTTTTTTCCCTTCACACAGAGGTATTAAAAATGAAAAGAGCAGTTTTCGGTACTTGACAAATAAAACAAACAGCTAATATCCACTAATTGCTAAGTAMTGACATCTACACAGTCATCTTTCAGGGAGATGCTCACCTGAAGCACACTGGTTTCCSCACAAGGTCATTTTTCAAGTGACCTCTAAGGTGTGATATATCTCCAATCTCTCCAGCCATCGAGAGTGGGATTCATCTTCCTTGCTAATGATTCTACTCATGAGGGTTCCATTTTTAGTCAATAAAAAGAGGAACATCCAAGCGGCAGCTCATCCCATACATCTTAAGATGGGCTCACTAGGCTTTTAGGAGGTGCCTGTTTCTCTCCTTTTACTAAAAGRAAGCCAGGACAGCTGGCTTGGGCTGCACATGAAAGCTGCTGCTTGGGGACACACATGCTACCTCCACATGAAGTAAGACAGACTAGAGCATGAGCTGGGAAACATTCCTGCACAAGGTAGTTGTGGGGAGGTAAGATTATTTCTATATATCAACAGGGATTACATTACTGGGCACTGAGGAAGATGCACTTTTTTCACAGCAGCTAGCACAGAGATTGGAACATGACAGCCAAGTTTTTCCTGTCTTCACCAGAATCTTTAAGGTAGGAAAGGAGAGTAGCTCAGGCATAGTGTAGTATAAAAATATGTATAAAAATACAAAGCAGGCTTTCAAGAGTGAGATTTACCTCAGATACATTCCAATTGCATATGCACACAGAAAGGAGTAATCCAGTGTTCCCAGCAATTGCTTGTAGTTGCTCTTATCTAAGAACATATTTTCAAAACAAATGATCAGGTTAAATGCACCAATAGCTTTCCAACAGCATTTATACTACACATTTTTTTTAAAAATACCTGCTTCTGTGCCTGCATTAACATTTAACTTTAAATAAGCACTTTTTAGAATGAAGCATGATTTTTTCAAATAACTTTATTTAACAAAAAAAAAAAAAAAACCTTTACAACTTACACTGTAACATATTATAAAACTATCACTAGTCTGCTTAAAAGTAAATGGCCAGGTTTATGAGCTACTCAGTAAGATGAGAAGACAGTAGAAAGAAMCAGAATATTATAAGGACTCGGTTTTACTCTTCTGTTTTTCAAGAATGAACATTTTAAAGACAAATSCAAATTTTTACACAAGGACATTTTCTCATTGAAACTCTAAGGAAATATCTCACAGCTGTGCCAAATAGAATCACTTAAACAGCAGATGAAATTTTAAGTACAAAAGTTATCGCAAGGTGTGCCAAAACTTTGGAATATCAACACGAACAGTCAAAAGAAAACACCCCTCCCAAATAAACATCCTAAACACCTCTGCACATGAAGAGCATGTAGCAAAAGGCAGATAATCTAATTCTCAATATCAACATATCATCATGAGAAAAAACAACCAAAGGAAAAAAACCACTCACCGAACGGCTCCCAGCCACACTGAGACACATTAAATGACTTTTTGACGGGCTGAATCTGGGCGGCATATTCTCTGTAGGAGCTGAGGTCAGCTTCATGAGAAGCAGCACAGTGTTTATGCAGCTCTCCCTGAAACAGAAGGAGAATTTAAAAAGACTCACTTGCAATAGATACCTGCTAAATCCCATACACTAGCAAATTTAACAACTTGAGCGCTATACAACCCACTGGAAATAGCAGAATCATCAGTCAAGGGCATTTACAGAAGCGAAGTCCCCATTACATAAAAGGACAATTATGTGGCTGGTAATGGCATCCTATAGTGAACTAGTGAAAGGCCTTCAGAACTAGAATTTTATCAGTTACAGGTAACTTTTCTCAAATCTATGAGCACAAACCTATAAAATTATATATCCATACATTGTATTAATTTACATGAACAGTGGTAAGAACAGRCATAGCTGTTCAAAATGTTAAGCCCAAAGAAGGGAAGTATACAATATTCTAGGAGCGGTCTCACAAAAGTTAAGTAAATAATACTGTGTACCACCTTTATCTTTTTGTCACTCCAAGTTAAAGTTTAACACTGCCTTTCACAAAAGAAAATACTGAAAAGGAAGAGTGTTTCCTTGTTTAATAGGAGTAGAAGGATGTTTAAACAAGGACACAACATCRCTTACCTTCACTATACTAATAGGTTTCCTTGATAAATGGAAGCTGGCATATAACAAGAAAGTGAGAATGAAAATAAAGGCTCTGTACCTGTAACATAAAAAAAAATTGAAAATGGTTGAAAACAAGGTTGCAAATGGGACAATTTACTTTTAGTGCTTCTATATATTGATAGATTAATATATGAAAATATTACAAATATTACTGATTATTTGGGAACTACTGAAGAAACCCTTTTTCATGGTCTCTCACAGCCAGAGAAACCACATTAGCATTAACATTGTTTCAGAACATCTGACCTGACTTAGCTTTTCAAGGAAATTTTATACTGCACAGGTAAAGGTGGAACAGCACTACTGTGTGATCCTTTCTGCACTTAGACTGTGCCCAGCTAATTTGCTGACTTGATATCCTTCCTTCAGGAGTCATTAAAAGGCAGTTCCACATAAAACATAGTGATAATCAGATCTCACAAACCACAGTCTCATCCGTTTTCTACTAAGATCAGGACATTGATGGTGGTTCTGCCCAGAGAGGTTGAGGAGTTTCCTTCTTTGGAGACCTTTAAAAACCACTTGGACGCAGCCCTGTGCACGTGCTCTGGGTGACCTTGTGTGAGCAGGGGGTTGGACTAGATGACCTCTGAGGTCCCTTCCAACCCTAAGCATTCTATGATTTTGTGTGGGGTCAATTTGGCTAATCCAGGTTTGTTTGTTTTTTTTTTTCCACTTTCTTTATTGCATATAGGACTTTTTACTTTATTTTGCCTTCCTTTCTAACAACAAGAACTGGCCATTTATAGAGACTATAGAGCAGATGGACACGGAGACAGTGCACTTTACCTGCAGTACATGAACATAATTAACCAGTTTATGGTTTAGAAAGGAACCTTCCCTCATCCTGACTGGCATCTGCAGCATGTCTGAATTATAGGGATATGTCATAAACTGCCTGTCACTGCAAGGGCTTTATACAAAGACAGAAATGTTATCTGCTTCATTCTCTACCTTCAGCACATACATTTCAGTTGTTTAAGAAAAGAAAGGTTTTGTGGATCTGCATTTTATACAACACACAGGATCTACTATATCTACAGGCTCCTTCCGATCTTGACCTTAAAATAAAAATCTGCAAATAATGCTACATGCGAGCATTATTAGAATGCTACATACAGAACTTTTGGACCACACAGGACTTTATGGCTCCTACTTTGTAATTAATCTTGAATCATTCTCTGCATTATAAACTTCTACATAACATGTATTGTCTTTTCTGTCATATTCACAAACAAAATTTAAAAGAGTTATACTGTGAGTTATTCACCTCACAACCCATAAAACTGTGATCACTTTGTCCTTGCTGCTCCAACAGAGAAAATGTGAGATTAAATTGCTCAAATGGGAAGTGTTAGGTCTTTCATTCATTATTTCTTTTTCACACAAGACTGACTCAGTGTTCTCTCTCTAAGAAAGCATCAGAGTTGATGCCATTCAAATAGACCTCAGAAGAGCCTCCAAGACTAGTTTGCCTTTTTTCTCTTTTTTAAATACTACTTATATTACAATATTACAGTAGCAATAAGAAGAAATAAGCTAGCTAGGTTTTTAGTTTTTATTATACATCAAATTCTGGAGGAAAAGAAACATTTCTCATCAAGACAAACAAGCTCTCTCCCCACCTAAGAGTTTGAAAATAAAAAAAATGTAATTCATCCCTTCAAATATCTACCTTGACAAGGGAAGGACAGAAGTTTGTTTTTGGGGTTTTTTTTTTTTTTTTTTTGGTCTAGCACACTTGATAAATGAGGATGCAGTCCATGGGTAGGTTCCCTCATCAGTGTATATAAGCATTTTAATGACAGCAATATTTATTTCTTACATAATTGACTATTATTTTCCTGGTTTATATAGGAAGCAATGAAAAGGCAAAAATAGAGCAAGGCCCCAGAACTGTCTTTGTCACCTTGTCCAAAATAAAGATCAGCAAAATAAAGTCAGCAACTTCCTGACTTACCACTGATCTCTTGAAAACAAAGTGATGAAACGAATGCCAGGAGGAAGCTGAGCCATCTACCCCTACACCTGGTATCAAGTTTTGGGCAACACAGTTAMAGGGTTGAGCGAATGTTATCTGCTGTTCCAAAGGCGCAGCAAAGATCCTCTCAAAGCCATGCAATCGTAGACTGGGAGCAGACTTGGAAGAGACACTGCAGAGCTCAGCTGATCTCCCTTCAGGTTTTCTTCAGGTACCTTCCGTCACTACTCGGCCAATTCTTCACTCTCAATTTGGTTAATTGCTGATCCTTAAAGGAGAGAAGTTGGCATGTAAATGTTCTTATCAAGGTATCCTAGCACTTTCTAAGCACTACATTTAAATCAGCAATTATCTATTTCAGAAATGTGTAATTAGCATAACTAGACATCAAAATGAAATACAGAACTTTAATAGAGAACACAATATTATTTTCAGAAGTCAAGAGAACACAAAACAGGGAGAATATGCATTTAGGACATTTTTTCATGGCCTGCGGACATGAAAACACTTTGCTTTTGTGTCAGAGAGACTACAAAGAGGTAATTCCCTACATTACAAAGATCTGCTTTAAAGCACGAGGAGCACTCCTAAGGTTGAAATTTGTTCAAAGATGACTGTGGTGTTTCAGTCCAGAACTGGGAACCCTCCGGACTGAGGACGGAGGCAGCCGGACCCCCCTGTCCGCGGATCCGATGCCAACTCCCTCCGCTGTCCTGGGCCTGCACAGGCGCTGAACAGGGAGCGCCACCAGCAGCAACCTCGGGCTGGACGAGCAAGGGGACATCCTTTCGCCACCCTGCTGCTCTGCGCCAGCTCCCTGGGGGCCAGCACGAAGGGGACAGTGGGCTCACCTGCACAGGCAACACAGAGGGGAATAGCAAGTCTGTGACAGCACCAGTTCAAATTGGCACTAGATGGTATAAAACTCCTGCTGCTTCCCCATACCCTGCCACGCTGGTTATCAGCAGCTCGACAGCAGGCCGTGGCCGCAGTGCTACGTGGCGGCACGCAGTGCCAGGGCRCACCACGCACCGGCCCTGCGCTCGCCGCATGCCCCACGGCCTCTGCTGGGCACACACAGCACGTTAAAATGCTGCACCCACCACGGCTCGCACCATGCCTCACTGTGGGGAGGACTCGCTCTCCCAGCAAACAACAGGAGTGAACTGACAAAAATCTTCCTTGAAGGATGTGCAGCTGTCACGATCGAGGGCCTGTATTAATCTGGGATTTTCAGAGGCTGCTATTTCACATGCAGAGGTGTGWGCCCCTCTCCGCCGGGCGTTATTGCTCCCTCCTGCTATAGGAAGCACAACTGTGCTCCTCTTCGGCTGACTGGGTGACAGCGCCCAACACAGTACCTGTTGCGTCCAAACTGGCAGCTTGGAAACTTCATTCTCCATATATGCTTTATTCTTGGGAATGGAAGAAAACTCCCCTTACAGCAACAGGCAGGCAGCAGGTCACAGCACGCAGACATCAAGGGGTCAATCACTTTGCGCCAGCAGGACTGAGCGTGGAGAACTCCAGTGGAGAAGACGGTGAAAAGGCAGTGGGAAGAGGCAGCCCAAGGTAGGAATGACCGACTTTTCCCGTAAGGAGCACTCCAGCACTAGCAGACTTGTTCCAGAGCAGTCCCAAACCCGTCTCTTCTCGCCCACAGCTGTCACCACTATTGACACAGTCATGTAAGTGGCCCCGCTCCAAGTGAGGAGGCAGATAAAGCCACTGGGGATGGGGAAGGAGTGAGAGGCTAATGAAGAACAACATGTGGAGGTCACACAGCTCTTAAAATGATTCCTTTAATATATAAAAGGAGATAAGGCCATTATCATCCACAGAAAGGTAACTGTTACACAGATTACTACTTAATGTGCAAGAAGGCTCCCCACACACCTTACAAATTATCTGACTGCCAGGTGGCCACACACGGTTACCCATCTGCACGGGTGCTGCACAGACCAYGCTCACACCAAAGCTGCTACAAAGACCACAGCATCACGATGGCACATGCTCCACATCCATGTGACTTCCCATGACTTCCACAAAGGAGACTGGACTATGGGCAGCATTCACAGAACTGCACCCTAATTCTCTCTGACAGGGAATGATTTCATCTCTACCACAGACACAGAGACCCAAACTCTGGCCTTACAAGGACTGCAGCGGGTTTACTCGTCATTCGTTTATCTCTATCTCCATGCATCCAYGGGGGCAGCTCACATTCGTGGTCTTGCTCTTCCCAAGCAAACAAAACTTTCCCCATGAAACAAARGGCCCTTATGGCAAAGGGCTCGTGATACCAGGTTGCAAGGATCTCATGCTGACAGATTAAATCAGGTTCTATAAAGAAGTTATTCTTCAGAAACAATATTAATAGGCTTTAGGCGATACTAAGTAGTTTACCAGCACATCTTTTATGTTTCTGCTTTATTAACAAAGCACAAGGATCAGCTTCAGTTCGGTGGCTGAACTGGTTTCCTATTCTTTCATTTTTTCAGCAACTACTTTTCCTGGCAGTGCAAGAAATGCCTTTACTCCTTGTCATAGTACCAGCATTGTTTTAGACCGGGTAATAAGTTTGAACCACACTTACTTTCCACATTTTGTACTTTCCTTCAGGCCTCACGTCACACTGTCTGAAGCACAATTCCCTCGCTGTCCCAGGAAAAGGCTGTCATTTTTTACTGGCCTTTACCAGCAAAGACCATAAATCATGGCTCAGCTGTGCRCTGGGGAAACGGAGCGATGCTCCGCTCAGCCCCTTCCTCTTTGTGCAGGTTTCTCTGCAGGAGGGATGTGCATTTCCCACCTCCTTCATGCAAAATCCAGGTCCTGCTCAGGACTCGGGAGGCCTTTGGGCAGACCAAAGCCCATAACACCGAGCACCTCAACACCTGCACCAGAKGCACAAGCTTCGGTGGTTTCCGAACACTCTTAAATGAGGGCATTCATGCCATTTCGTACTAAGGCACAGATCCGAGAACAACTAGTCCCGACTTTAACACGCGTGGAAAACACCCTCGCCAAGACGCACCAAACGGGCAACAAGCGGCGAGCGGCCGCGCGCTCAGCCGGCGCCGGCGGCACCACGAGGGGACCGAGGGGAAGCCCGGGGGAAAGCCGGGGCTGCCGCCGGCCTCCAGCGCCGGCCTGGCCGCCGGAGCGCAGCCCGTGCCGCCGCCTCCCGCCCGGGAGCCCGCGGCTCCTTGGAGCTGCCCTCCCGGGCTCCGCTCCGCGCCCGCCGCCGCCGCCCCGCTCGCAAGGGAGCCACGCGGGCGCCGAGCCGCGGCGCAGCCCGCGGGGAGCCGCAGGTGGCTCGGCGAAACCGGACCCCGCGAGCGCGGAGACGGCGCAAGGGGGAAATGGGGAGAGCKGGGGCGGCAGGGGGTGCGCGGCAGGTGCACGGCCGCCCCCGGCCC